TGCTGGTGTTTGAGAGAGAGAGAGAGAGAGAGAGAGAGAGAGAGAGAGAGAGAGAGAGAGAGAGAGTCTTGCTAAGTAGTTTAGGCTGGCCTCAAACTCACAGCAATCTCCTATCTCAGCCACCCTAAGGTTGGGACTACAGGCGTACACCGCCACACCTGGCTCTGAGCTTTCCTGTGATCGTAGAGGAAAGGACTTTGCGGTTAATTTCCCAGGCACAGGATTCCCCATTGAGGCACAGTGGCTCACACCCCAGCCACGCTGGCAGTTTCACCTGAACCTAGGCAGTAGGAGGCAGAGCCCATACAGGGGCAGACTCCAGACACGGCCAGAGTGATGACTACACCAGCATTCAAAGTGTGTGCTGAGACCCAAGCCAGGTCTGTCAACTTCCATAATCCTCGCTGGAAGGATGGAATCATGGCCCAGGGCAGCAGAGACACTTCTGACACCTATTCCCCAACTTCCCACGGCACCCAAGGGGATTTTGCTACCCCTTCATTTTTCAGTGAAGCCTTTCCCCTTCCTCAATCCCACCTGTCTCCTCTTCACCCCCAGCACAGATACCCAGGGCAGGGAGCCGGCTGTCTGCTCACCTCCTCCCCAGCATCCTCTGCCCTCTGCCTCTGGCGGGGGCCAACCTATCTAGTGGCACCAGCGTGCACATAGGGATTGATAGAAATGTTTTCATTTGAAATCAGAAAAGGAAAAACATGAACTTTTAGGCCAAAGAGAAAACTTTAATACACAGTGTGAACACATTCCTCTTTATACCAATGCAGCCACAAAACACAGCTTTAATTGTAAAAGAAGGGGGCCTTGAAGCTGAGAGTCTAGGGCTCAGAAAAGCCCTCACGAAGCCCCACCCACAGCCCCTTCCTGGGAGGATCCATTCAGTCCCTCTCTGCCAGCCCTGAGCCTTCCTGGAGCAGAAACTCAGCCCATGGAGCCAGCATCACTCAGGAAGCAGACCTGGCTACTGGGCCCAGTTCCAGGGGACCCCTGAGCCTCCATTTTCCTCTTCTGGAGGATGAAGAGAGCTGGACTAGAGTTGGTCTCAAAGGCCCCTTTAGTTATGTTCCTTATTTTTTTTTTTTTTTTTTTTTTTTTTTTTTTTTTTTTTTGGTACTGGGAATCGAATTCAGGTCCTTGCGCTTGAGAGGCAGGCAGCGGAACCACTGAGCCAAATTCCCAACCCGATGGTTCTAATTTTCAGGCAGCCTGATTTTTGGTGACTGTTACCCAGCAGGTAGACAGAGCTGGTCTCACCTAACAGTCAAGGGAACTTGGCAAATTAGCTAATCTCAGGCCATACTGGACGCTAGCAGTTTCCTCCCCAGCTTGTTGAAAAAATCCATGTAAGCACCAGGCAACAGTAAAGGTATAAAATAAATGCTACACTTTTATTATTGTCCGCTCTTCTCATCTCAAGAAGCACCCTCACAAAGGATATGGGTGTGATTATTTTAAATATTCCACTGGCCCCATTTTTCTCTGACCACAGCCCATCTCCAGGCAGTTTGTCCTGACCAGAACTCTGCCTCCCATCCCAGTCCCACCCTTCACGGAAAAGGGAGAATCTGGCACTCCAACCCTAAGTTCCCAGGGGCAGGGACTCAGGGCTGGCAAAATTTCTTTTTGTCTCCTTTGCCTCACTCCTGTGCCATGCCCTAGGAGCACAAAGTCCCAGTCTGAACACACCATCTGTCCTCACCTCCTCACCTGCCAGAAACCAGCTCTGGCTCCCGGACCCAGGGGGTCTTGAAGGAGCCTCCACCCTCACAGACCCTCATCTTTTCAGCACTGTGTGGCTCCGCCCCCAGCGTCTGTCCTACTCTTCCTCCGAGGAAGTCTCTTGTCACATAGCTTCTCCCCTCACTCCCGGGGACCCTGGAGTCTCCTCTCTGCGCCCCTCCCCATCTCTGCTCCGCCACTTTTGCCAGTCTCCCTGGACCTCCCTGGATCTGCACGGGCCGAGTGACAGTTGCCATGGAGACCCGTCTTCAACCAGGCCCCACCCTCGCTT